AGGGAAAGAAGTCCTTACAAAATCTGAACAATATCACAGTCTGAAAAATGTTTTATCTCTGAAATTGAATGCATCTTTGATGGGGGTGGAGTAGGAGAGAATGGGCAGCTTTAATTTTTCTCATGCTGTTAAAATATTAACAATTTTCACTTTAAATGTGATTCTGTTGTCTTTTTAAGATGGTCCAGCTGAAGCATCTGTTACAAATGGAGGCACCGCTGCTGTCACAGCGCTGAATGATGATCTGGATATCTTCGGTCCAATGATCTCTAATCCTTTACCAGCAGCTGCTGTACCTCCTGCTCAGGTAAAATTTATTTAGTTGTATGTGTGCGTAAATATGTGCGTGCACATGCATATTTTCCTTCAAGGAATTGTTCATTCAAACAGAATGAACGCATACTTCTCAACACTCATGGCTGGAGACTCTTTAGCTGAAATGGCTATATTTTTCTCACCTCTTCAAGCTTCCGTCATGCTTGGATATAGCATTAGGAGATAGTGTGGTCTTCCCTTCTGATTCCCCCTGGTTATCCAGCTAAATTGGGTTCTGTCTTACTCTGGTGATGGTAGTCTTGTTTTCTTTCAATTTATGTTCTTTTGTCTTGTTCTTTTTTTAATTTTTTTTAACAATTCAGGTATTGCTGAATATATTTTTACTTGATGTTCTCAGATTATTGGGCTTTAAGTCATACTTTGTAAGGACTTCTTACTGCTTTGTGATGCTGATATTTAGGAAGGGCTACAGCAGATGCTTCTGTCTTAAGAGCTGCTAAAAATTTGGGATCTCAAGCTTCATACTCAAAATCAAGAATGGATATCAAGAAGGACTAATATTGCTTCCTGAGCTGATCTGTTTTTGTCTCATCTTGGAACTTGTATGTCTGTCTGTGTTCAAGGAAGGGTAGCATAACCCCTGTACCTGGCCCGCTCCCTCTCTTACAGCCATGGTAGTTTGGAAGACCCCCGTTGCCATGCCTGTTGCAGCTTTGGGGTGCACAAAGAAAATGTTTCAAGCTGCAGCTCCTTCAAGCTGCAGCTCCTTTCAGCCTCAAAGAATGAGGTGTTGGTGCTGAATATGGCTGGTGCAGATCAGAAGGCACATGTGCAGGCTTCCTTACCCAGACTGGCTTCTGAGAGGGAGGCTTTGGAGGAGTACTTGGCTAACCACCTCATCTGTGAGGCCCTTTTAAGGTAATTTAGAGGCTTATTTTTGCAGAATGTGTTCTGTCTCACTCAGCTGAATCAGAAAGAACTGTATGTATTCTTGAATTTATAGTTTGGGCCCTGTGATCTCCTTATCCAGTAGTTTTCATAATATATAAAATGGAAGGGATGATGATGGAAAGCAATTCTGATTGAACTGGCATATCGTAATTTTGTTTCCAAATGTTCTGTTGATCATCGTACTCACCTCAAAGCATATCCATGTTGTTCAACAGATTTGATTGTAGTTTTTATTCTTTATCCTTTACTCTCCCTTCCCCTACTCGTTGCTGAGGGCTGACTTTGTGCAACATGCTAGGTAGGGTTTTAGAGACTGAAACCACGTTTCTTTTTAAACATGAAACTACAGATAAAGCAAGCTTCCCAGCGTGCCTTAAGCCACCTGTAAATGGTGAGGGAAATGAGCCGTATACCTGCGTTTAGGTTTGGATGTGTTAGCCAAGTTTGCAAAGGAAAGTGTTGGTATAGATTTTCTTGGCTCTTGTGGAAGTCTCTGTTCAAAGTACCAGAAAGAACAGTATCTGACTGCTTGTCTGCTATTCTACCGCGTTATGTCAAAATTGATCTAGAGGAACCTACCTATAGAGGTAGATGTGAAAAGCAGTAACCCATTTCCAGCTTCACTGAGCTTTTTAATGTATCCAGTTTTGGTGTAGATTGAGTAAATTCAAATCTAGAATCATGAAGTTTCCACTCAACCCCATAATAAATGGGTCAGTGGTAGTAACACATGTAACAGATAGGGTTGGCTTCTGTTTTTCTCCCTTTCCTGCCTTTCTGAATATCAAAGTGACAACTTCTGTATGTAGTTACTGTCTGCTCAGCAGAAAAGATTTTGGGTTGTCATTAACGTTCACTGATCAGTCTTCTCTGAGACCTTTGAGAATTTCAGCTTTCTCTTGTTTCTATTCCATGAGCAACTGACATCACCTGCTGAGTTAGCTGTAGAATACAGGAAATCGAAAAGAAGGGTAAATATTCAAGTGTGAGAAAAAGCAAAGTGCATGGTGATTCTTTGGCTGGTGATAGTTGGTGATGGGTTAAATAATGGAGTGGCTGCTAAAGTATATTGAATTACATGTATTAGCAATTAAAGAAAACAGATCATTTAAAGTGCATTTCTGTGATAAAGATCTAGACCTCCTGTGAGAGAAATGTTTTGATACGTGTAGTTTCTCTCTTATTGTGCTAGTTTCTAGACCAGCTATGACACTTACTAAATGGATTAAAAAGCAGTAGAAAGGATAGTATTATTCTCAACATCTGGTAAGTATCACCTTGTTTGCATACTAGAAAGCATCAATATATTTACTTGCTGTTAACAAACTAGTCCAGATTTTTGGTGACATTTTGCTTTTTTCTGAGTGCCATAATAAGGAACAGCACACAGAACTTTCATCAAATACACGGTCCTTATGGCATCTTGCAAGATTTAATTCTTGGTTATCTTGCATTCTTAATTCTTTCTCAAAGAAAATGTAATATAACCAGATGAGAGATGGGTCCGTAGCAGGAGATACGTTTTTGATGCTGATTACATGGGTTGCTTGGTAAACAGGGACAAAGGGAATATTCTGTTTTGCTTTAGGATAAAAAAGGCCCTGCAGGCCTTGCATTTCAGGATGGTGGTGTGTAGTCTGGGAACTGATGCTGGGCAGCAGTTGAGGGTGCCTCTCATTTGGCAGTGGTATGAGTATTTTGCAAGATCTTTCACCTTGTAGTATGGATAAAAGCTGTATGGGATTCAGAGAAGAGTTAGGAGAATATTGGAAACTGGAAATGGTGCTTCATAATGAGAGATTTTAAGGACTCAGTCTGTTTAATTTCTTGAAGTAAAAAAGCAGTGTAGTTATTTTGTGTGAGACTGCAAATGGGAACGTGGGCATAAACTAGAACTCAGTCAAACAGTTGAGTAACCCTAACATTGAGTTCCTACATTTGGATTTGGAAAATTCAGAGAAGAAATCCATGGCCAATTCTTAAGTTGAGATGAGTAGCACTTGTTTGAATATCTATTAAGAGGATGCATTGAATTAAAAAAGTGAAGTAGAAGAAGGGATCAAATGTAGAATAGTGTGGCTTGCTTTCTCACTCAGAGATACTTACCATGATGTGCTTCTGAGATACCACAGTGGGATTGTGAACATTGAAAGAGAAGGGAATTTAATGGTGCTTCTCAAACTGATTTGTAGAAGCAATGTATGACTGTTGATTTTTCACTGGATTGCTTTTCTTTTCCAGCTTAACCTGAAAGGCAGCATATAATACTAAATGCATATGTTTTTATGGCACTGTGGAGCACAGAAATGTCTGTTTGAATGTTTTATTGTGAGACTAAAACAATGTGATGTCTGCAAACCTTAGGATTTATGACCATTGACATAGCCAAGACATGATTTTAAAATGAAAACAAAAGCATTTGTTTTTCCTTTTTCAAATGTGACTTGAGTATTCAGGATTGTATGCACTTTTACTCTGCTTTCAGATATGTGTCTTTATTACAGTTTTCAAAAACGCTTAGAATATTTCTTCCTACTATTCTGTATAGCTGGGTGCTAATAAAAACTGTTGAATTTGTAAAGGACTGGTAAATAACAATATGTGAATGAGTAACTTTTTTTCTAGAATTTTACCTATTAGCAAACTCAAGGGGATTAAAGAAGAGTTAACTTAACCAGCTCCTACTGTAAAACTAGATAAAAGGCATATGCTATAAATTTACCCATTTTGCAGTATTCGTGGACAGAAAAAAGGAAAAAAAGACATTTTGTATGTTTAGTGACGCTTTTTCATGTGAATTGAGCATAGCTAAATTATAGCTATTAGAACAATGTTTTTTGTTGCCGAACATTGTATAGGAACTAAACAAAGGTCTGTCATTCTTAGCTATACTTAAAACAATTTCCTAAATTGTTTTAGCCAGATGTTAATTTCAGACTTTGTATGGGTATGTCTTCCAGCAGAAGTGTGATCTTCATTCTTCAGTGAGGCTTGTAGGGAGGGGGAGAAGGGGAGAACTGTGAGGTATTAATTTTGAGATATTAATTCACAGAAACATTTAACGTAAGTCTTTCTCCAAGCAGGATACTAAAACCCAGTCAACTTAAACTTTTTTTTATTTTTTTGTGTGCGTGTGCGTGTGCCTGATTTGAATTCTGTTGGGAGCTGAGAATTGGTTCAATGGCTACAAAAATATATTTTTGTAGAGATGGTATATGTTCTTCATAATTCATGTCTGACAAGCTTTCATGTGAAGTAGTAGTATGTTTTAGATAACTAGATCTTCTTAAATACTCATTTTCCCCTGAGGTCAGGTATGTGTACCTAGCATGGTTGACATAGATCAGCAGACAAGTTTCAACTTGTTAACAAATTGTGGTGATGATAATGTGTCAAAGTCCCTGGTTTTTACAGAGAAAATGAGTTATTTAAGAAGTTTACTTTACTGTGAATGTTATTTAAGCAGGGTCTTACTGGAGAGCTTTTAGTCCTATTCTAATATGATCAGTTGAATTGTTTGTAGCTTCTGTTTATGTTTATTTTACCCCCCTCTAAATTTTGAGGTATCTGAAAGCTGAAGTTTAATACCTCCATCTGGGTCGGGGCAATCCCAAACATGGATACAGGCTGGGGGATGAAGGGATTGAGAACAGCCCTGCCGAGAAGGACTTGGGGGTACTGGTGGATGAAAAGCTGGACAAGAGCCGGCAATGTGCACTCGCAGCCCAGAAGGCCAACCGTATCCTGGGCTGCATCAAAAGAAGCGTGGCCAGCAGGTCGAGGGAGGTGATTCTGCCCCTCTACTCCGCTCTGGTGAGACCCCATTTGAAGTACTGCGTCCAGCTCTGGGGCCCCCAACATAAGAAAGACATGGATTTGCTTGAGCGGGTCCAGAGGAGGGCCACAAAGACGATCAAGCGTTGGAGCACCTCCCATATGAGGACAGGCTGAGAGAGTTGGGGTTGTTGGAGCCTAGAGAAGAAAAGGCTCCAGGGAGACCTTTTAGTGGTCTTCCAGTACTTAAAGGGGGCCTCCAGGAAAGATGGAGAGGGACTCTTTATCAGGGATTGTAGTGATAGG